AGTAAAGCCTTCCTGGACCTGGGGATTAAGGCTTCCAGGACCTGAGGATGAAGTAAAGCCTTCCAGGACCTGGGGATGCAGTAAAGCCTTCCAGGACCTGGGGCTCACACCTTCCAGGACCTGCTGTCCCAGCAGACTCACCATGTACATGGCTGCGGCCACGGGCAGGTAGAAGGAGTAAAACGCCGTCTTGTACTTCACAATGGCCTTGTACCTGTGCCAGAGGGAGCAGGCTGAGCCCCGAGGCCACCTCCGCCCCCCTCGGGGACACGAGGGCTCCCCAAAACCCCAAAAACCAGCCCCAGGCTCAGCTGCTCCCCAAAAACCAACCCCAGGCTCAGCAGAGCCAGGAAGGGACCGAGCTGCTCCCCAAAAACTGACCCCAGGCTCAGCAGAGCCAGGAAGGGACTGAGCTGCACCCCAAAAACCAGCCCCAGGCTCAGCAGAGCTAGGAAGGGACCAGGCTGCTCCCCAAAAACCAGTCCCAGGCTCAGCAGAGCCAGGAAGGAACCGAGCTGCTCCCCAAAAACCAGCCCCAGGCTCAGCTGCTCCCCAAAAACCAGCCCCAGGCTCAGCTGCTCCCCAAAAACCAGCCCCAGGCTCATCAGAGCCAGGAAAGGACCAGGCTGCTCCCCAAAATCCAACCCCAGGCTCAGCTGCTCCCCAAAAACTGACCCCAGGCTCAGCTGCTCCCCAAAAACCAGCCCCAGGCTCAGCAGAGCCAGGAAAGGACCGGGCTGCTCCCCAAAAACCGATCCCAGGCTCAGCAGAGCCAGGAAAGGACCGGGCTGCTCCCCAAAAACCGACCCCAGGCTCAGCAGAGCCAGGAAGGGACCAGGCCCTGCCTCTGCCACCCTTGGGGACAGAAGGGCTCCCCAAAACCCCAAAAACCAGCCCCAGGCTCAGCAGAGCTGGGAAGGGACCGGGCTGCTCCCCAAAAACCAGCCCCGGGCTCTGCCTCTGCCCCCCCGTACCGCTGCTCGCTGAACCTGCTCAGGTCCACCTGGGAGACTGGAGCAGTGATGAGGTCCAGGGTCTGCCCCAGCTCGGTCTGGTAGCCTGTCTGGAGAGGAAAGAAAGGATCTGCGGCCTCGCTGCGGCTTTGCAGTGCTTCGGAGGGGTGTAAAAAAGAGGGAGGAGGATGTTTTGAACGGGGAGAATAAGAAGATAAAGGCTGGTGGCTATGCTGGATCAATGATGTTGATATTGGGAAGGAATTCCTGCGCCCAGAGAAGCTGTGGGTGCCCCTGGAAGTGTCCAAAGCCGGGTTGGAGCAAGCTGGGAGGTGTCCCCGTGGCAGGGGAGTGGAACAAGATGCTCTTTAAGGTCCCATCCAACCCAAAGCAGCGATTCCATGATTTATTCACAGAACCCTCCAGGAAAGCCCCAGCACAGCACAGTGCAGACCCCAAACTCCTCTTGTTCAGCTCCTCTTTGGCTTTTGCCAGGGTGCGTCCAGCAGGACGGCCAGCAATTCAAGGAGCACTCCGAGACCCACATCAGAAAAGGTCCGACGTGAAGGCTCAGACCCCCCAAAAAAATCAGGAAGGGGTTTTGGGGAGCCGGGCTCACCTGCAGGAAGAGCTCCAGCAGGTGCAGGTAGTAGGGCTGCTGCCCGCAGTACCTCCTCAGCAGCCGGTACACCGAGGACTCCAGCAGAAAAGCATCATTGATGGCATCCAGCCCGATCCCCTCCTGCACCAGGGAGGGGAGGGAGGTGTCCCAAACCCTCCTGACCCGCAGGGGACACCCCCCCAAGATGGGAACAGGGACGCTCTCACCTTCTTGTACCAGCAGAGCTGCCCCCGGCGGGTCAGCGACGCGTCCATGATGTCGTCAGCCACCAGGAAAAAGGCTTGGAACTGCGAGAGGTTGGATCAAAGATGGGTAAAACCCCCGGGTGTTGACTGTGGGGTGGCTTTGTGCAGTGGAAAAACTTTTTTTCCCCCCTAATTTATGCTTCCTGTTGTTTGGTTTTATGGTTGTTTATTTGTAAGTTCCCTAAAAGATTTGTCTTTTTGGGCTGCTGTGGTTTGCTCAGCAGCTTAGGCAAAGGTTTACACACTCTTGACATCTTCTTTGTTGGTGTTTTTTTTTTCTCTTTCCTTGCTTTTGAGCTATTGTTATATTTTATATGGTATGTTATGTGTTATATGTTTATAGTTTTTTTTTTTTTTTAATACTTACTACTTATATTAAATGGTGTTTTTTTACTTTAAACTAATTTGTGAGTGCTAACATTATTAAGAACATGGAGGTAAGGAAGGACTGGTTAAATTTTTTCTATCTTAAAACTATTGACTCTTATGTATAAAACAGAAACCCCCCTGTATAATATTAAAACTTCCTTGTGCAGTACTAAAATTTTTTTCTCTTCACTTTGCGATTACTTCTACTACAATATCTAAACTTTTGCGCCTTCTTGCTCTTTCTGCAAAATCGCTAAATTATTCTCCGGTTCAAACCCAAAATCACAGCTGTTGTTAGGGTTTCAAATGCTTGTGACCGGGGCTCGGGATTTCTGGAAATGTTGCGGGACATTTTGAGCTCCATCCCCGGCGGGTGCCGGTTCTCACCAGCTCGATGCACCAGCCCACGGCCAGCGCGCAGCGGAGGCTCCCCGGTTCCTGCCGCTCCGCCAGCCGCCGGAACGCCGCCACCACCGTCAGCCCCCGGTTGCACTTCCCGCCCGGCGCGTTGTACTCCAGCACCTGCGGGGGCACAGCCGGCTGAGCAGCCCGGACCTTTCCCGTTCCCCGTCCCCGCTCCCGCCGCCGCCGCCCTCCCGTTCTCACCTGCTTCAGCCGCGCCACGGCGTCTCCCACCTCCGGGTGGCCCAGCATGTCCTCCGTCAGGTCGCGGACGATCTGCGGGAAGAAGGCGGCGAACTCCTCGCGCTCGGCCGCTGCCCGCGCCCCGCTCATGGTGCCGGTTCCCGGTGCCGCTCCCCGGTGCCGGTGCCCGCTGCCGCCGCTGCCGCCCGCGGCCCCCGCGGCCCCTCCGGGCCCGCCCCCCGCGCGGGGCACGCCGGGACGCGTAGTTCCGAGGCGCGGGTGCGACCGCTACCCAGGGCACACAGTGGACTACAACTCCCAGTGTGCCCCGCGCCTGGGGGCGGGCCAGCGGGCACGCGGCTGGAGCGGCGCCCATTGGTCTGTTTCATCGTGCGAGGATGAGCCCAAGGCGGCTGAGCCAATGGAAGCGCGGCGGGGGCGGGATGCAGGTCGGTGATTGGTGGAGAGGGGGAATGGAAAGAGCGCACGGCCTGGCGCGGGGGCGTGGCTTTGGGCTCGTGGGCGTGGCTTAGGGCGGGGCGTGATCGGTAACCGGGAGGGGAACGGGGAGTCGCGAGCACCGGGACGGGGGAGCGCTGGAACTGCGGGCAAAATGGGGGTGTGGGGTGCCGGTGTGGGGGGCCATGCGGTCTGTGGGGTTGTAGGGGGGTGTGGGTCGCCATGCAGGTGTGGTATACAACGTGATTTTGGGGTGTAGCACAGGTGTGGGGTACAGTACAGGTGTGAGGCGCACACAGGTGTGCGGTACACACAGGTGTGGGGCGCCGTGCAGCTGACATGCTATGCAGGTGTGGGCGCAGAGCAGTTATGGGGTGCAGAAAAGTTACGGGGTACAGAGCAGTTATGGGGCAGAGAGCAATTATGGGGTACAGAGTGGGTGTGGGGCGGGTGTGGGGTGCAGAGCAGTTATGGGGCGCAGAGCAGTTATGGGGTGTGGAGCAGTTATAGGGTACAGAGCAATTATGGGGTGCAGAGCAGTTATGGGGCACAAAGCAATTATGGGGTACAGAATAGTTATAGGGCACGGAGCAGTTATGGGGCACACGCGGTGCCACCTTCCCGCTGCTGCCCGCAGCTCCTGCCTGGCCCCCGGGCCCTCCGCTCGGCGCCCGCCCGCATCCCCGAATCCCCTAATCCCGGCTCACCCGCGTTAATTCATCTCTCTAATCCCCCTCCCGCCGCCACCGGGACGCGGGGCTCGGGGCAGAGCCCCCGGCTGTCCCCGGGGAGAGGGAAGCGGGGACGGACGGGTGCTCTGCCCGCATCCCCGGGGCTCTGCGGGGCCCCGTACCCCGCGGCTTTGCCCTCAGCCCCGGGCGGGCAGCGGGGCTCCGCCGCATCCCGGTGTGCGGTGGGCGCCAGCCGGTCCCGCTGCCTCGGCCGGCGGAGCCGAGGACACGAACTCGCTGGAAGAGTGTTGGAATAGGAATAGCACATCTGCTGGAATTCATTCCCAAAAAAAAATGATCTCTTTGTTTTTTTTTGTTGTTGTTTTTTTTTTGCTCCCAGCCCCGTGCCCCCTTAATCAGGCTGGCTGCGGTGTAATCTCAAATAATCAAATTAGAGAGAAACCGTTAATCAGCGCTGAGCTCTCGCTGTGTCACCGAGCCTAATTCCCGCGGGCAGCGGGGCAAGGCTGCCCCGGGAACGGGTGGGGACACCGGGCAGGGCACAGCTCGGTGGCACCGGCGCCCACGTCCTGCTTGCCACCGTGTCCTGTCTGAGCCCGCTGTGCCCTGCCCGAGGGGGCTGGGGAAGGATGTCAGAACCCAAAATGTCCCTCAGACATTTTTGGGTGTTCCAGACCCAGGTCAGAAGCATTTGAGACCCCGGCAGGCAGCTGGAAAATTTTGGATTTGAACCATGGAACGATTTACCGACCTTGCAGGAAGAACAAGAAGTCACAAAAGTTTAGATATTATAGTGGAAGTAGTCACAAAGTAAAGGGAAGAATTTTTGAGTGCTGTACAGGGGGATTTTGGTTTTGTACATGGGGGTCAGAGGTTTTAAGATAGAGGAATTTGGGCCTGCCCTGTCCTTCCTCTCTTCTTCCTCACCTCCATGTTCTTGGTGATGTTGGCACTCACAGATTGGTTTAGAGTAGAAAAGCACCATTTAATATAGGTAAAATTGGGGAAAAACTATAAACATTTAACACATAATGTACCATATAAAGAGAGCAGCAGCCCTGGGCGGGGAGAGAAGAAGCAGTCGGGGTCAGAGAGGATGTCAGGGTGTGTGTGTGCCTCTGCCTGAGCTGTGAGCAAACCACAGCATCCCAAGGAGAAAATCTTTTAGATAATTAGCAATTAACAACCATGAGACCGAACAACAGGAGATTTCTGAGCTTTTTTTTTTGAAAGCACAGGTTGGAGGAGAGATTTTTCCACCGCACGGAGTCACCCCCGACCTAGAGGTGTGTGAGAACCCTGGCCTGGTTCAGGGGTCTCATGTGGTGGAAAAGTCTCTCCTCCAACCCGAGCTTCCAAAGAAAACTCAGCAGCCTCTTGTTGTTCAGTCTCAAGGCAGTTTATTGCTAATTATCTAAAAGATTTTCTTCTCGGGCTGTGGCTGTTTGGTCAGCAGCTCAGGCAGAGACACATATATTTTTGACACCCTTACTGTCTGGTGTTCTTTTTTTTTTTCCTCTTCTGCCTAGGGCTGTTGTTATTTTTTATATGATAGATGATGTGTTATATGTTTACAGTTTTTCTTTAATATTTACTACCTATGTTATAAGGTGCTTTTTTTACTTTAAACTAATTTCTAAGTGCTAGCATCACTAAGAACATGGAGCCAAGGAAGAAGAAGGAGGAATAGGATTAGCCTACTTTCTTCTATTTCAGAACTTTTGAATTTTATGTATAAAGTAAAAACCCTCCTGTATAGGTGTTAAACCCCCCCTGTACAACACTAAAAAATTTTTCTCCTCTATTTTGTAACTACTTTTACTATATTATTTAACTCTTTGTGACTGCTTGTTCTACCTCTAAAGTTGGTAACTCATTCCATGGCTCAAACTCAAAATCCCAGCTGTTTCCAGCTGCCTGCCAGGGTCTCAAATGCTTCTGAGCAAGGCCTGGAATTTCTAAAAATGTCTGAGAAACATTTTGAGTTCTAACAGAGACACGTGTATTTTTGACACCCTTATTGTCTGGTGTTCTTTTTTTTTTTTTCTTTTCTGCCTAGGGCTGTTGTTATTTTTTATATGATAGATGATGTTTATATGTTTAAAGTTTTTCTTTAATATTTACCACCTGTGTTGTAAGGTGACCCGCGCCAGGTGCCCACCTTGCGCTCCGTGACCTTCATTTAATCGCGTTAATGCCTCGGCTGCTGCTCTGCAATCAGGCGCTGCCAAACCCGCCCCTCCCCCGTCCCCGGCAATCAAGGCAACGGAGATGGAAGGGGAAAAGAACCCAAGATTAAACATTAATCTGCCCAGGGCCGAGAGGGACCGGCGTGCCTGGGAGGGGACCTGCTGTGCCGCCCTGCTAAACCCCCTCGGTGGCTCCCGAGGCTGTCCCGGCTCTGCAGGATTGGAGCTGGGGTGCTGTCCCATCCCCCGGGGGTCACAGGAGGTGCAGAAGGAGTTTCCCCCCAGCCCGGCTCCGAATCTCTCTTTATTATTGAAATCCGTTATGTACAACGACCGAAAAAATAAAATAAAATTAAATTAAATTAAAAAAAACCACCCCGCTCTTAAATTTCTCTGCGATATGAAAACTACAAGCTCTGTACATCGACTGCCGTGAGTGCAAGAGTGGAGGGTCGTGGTCTTTGGTGGCTGAACTTGCGCCCCCGGCCCCTCCAGCCCGCACCGGGGGCGAGCACCGGGCCCCGGGGCGCCCCGGTGGCGGTGAGCGGAGCTCGGGGCGGCTCTGCCTCCCGACACGGGGAGCGCTCACCGGAGAGAGCTCGGTGCTGTCCGCGCCGGCCCGCCGAGACACCGACACCACGCGGTGTGAACGCAGCCGAGATTTGGGGAGGTTTTCGTGTCCCCCCCTCCTGATGGGGACACGCGGGGATGGAGCGGGACGTGGGGGTGAGCACGGGAGGGAGGTTGAAACGCGTGGGGGATAAAAAGGCAGCGCAGGACATCCCCTGCGGCAGGCGCTGCCGGGATTCCCGGTGGAGCCCTGCGCTCCGCGCTGCTCCCAAAACGCGAGCGTGGAGAAGGGAGCGCCGCAGCTCGGTGAGTTCCGCGGGGAACGAGACCTCTCGCCCGCCGCTCAGCCCCAGAGCACGAAGACAAGCCACGGTTCCTGACTCCGGGAGTGGGAAGCAGCTGGCACAGCGCGGTGAGGACGGAGGGGACGCTACTCTAACCAGGACTGAACACGGTTGGCCCAAAGCGACGCTGGAAGCAGAGCTCGGCTGCTTGGCAGAGCCACGACTCGCACACACATTGCACACTGCTGTCTCTAGACGGGGGGAGTGGGGCATCTGGGGGGACCCCGGGCTCCTGTTGGACGAGGGGGTGACCCCACAGCCCCACACGTCACCCAGGCGCTGCCCGGGATTGGCATCTCTTCGTGACAGCCTTTTGCTCCCGTGGCACGGGTGACTGGCAGCTCTGGGTGACCTGGAAATGGGACTGCAGCACAGGGCAGGGGAGCAGAGCCCGGGCTGAGCATCCTCCTGGGGCCACAGGGGTCCCTGCATGGACCCTCTGAGCATCCTCCTGGGGCCACAGGCAGTGGGGTCCCTGCATGGACCTTCTGAGCATCCTCCTGGGGCCGCAGGCAGTGGGGTCCCTGCATGGACCCTCTGAGCATCCTCCTGGAGCCACAGGCAGTGGGGTCCCTGCATGGACCCTCTGAGCATCCTCCTGGGG